CCACACAGCACCAGAGATGGGTGTAACCTGCCAAGATGTCAATCAACCTGCTGACTGCAAGACATCACAAAGCAAGACTCCACCCTTGAAACCTTATCCCTGCCTTTGATGTATCCCCTTAAATAAACCATGGGAGCATTTTGTCTTTGTCTAATTCCAGAGCCCATATGGACTAGATCTATCAGGGGCTTTGCATTCTGTAAATATACTTCTGAGTATATGTGTTTTGTTACGTACTAATTATCTGAGATTGCAAGTTTTAGGGTGGCTTGGATTCCTGGGCAGAAAGAAGGACCACTTTTTGAGATGTTGGCCATCTATCTGTTCCCCTCTGAAAGACTGTCCTTTTGCAATTCTCCTTGCTTCTTTATCAAAGATCAGTTAATTTTATTTGGGTGGATCTGTTTCTAAGCTCTCTCTTCTGCTCCACTGGCCCATTAGTCTTTTAAAGCCACACCATCTCATTACTTTATAGGAAGTTTTGAAATTAGGTACCCTTTTTCTTTGTTCTTCTTCTTCCAACATTGTGTGACACGCCTGAATCTTTTCCAACTTCCTTCTAACTTAATACAAGTTAAGGCACTTAGGAGTCTTCATTTTGGCATGACCTGAGGCCACAGTGGCATCTAGACATATGAGTGATTTTTGTATTTTTTCTGCTTCCATCAATTTTCTTCCATGTATTGAAAGACCTTAATCCACCAAACTGCATTAATTTCATAGATTTAGTTCATCAAGACACGCATAGTTTCCAATCAGAGATTTTGGTCAGCACAAGGTTCGGTTATTACTGCCAATTTTGATACTTCCTGCCCCTAAAGTAAAGAGAAATATGCAACCAGATGGCAGGTAGAGTAGGATGCCAAATTAAGCTCAGCTGAAGCACCAAGACAATTAGGAGCTGCCTTCCAATGGAGACATTAGACCAAAGGTAGGTAACACCCCCTTCAAAATGGTATAGACTCCTGAATGCCCGGATTGGTACTGTAGATATAAAAATATTAAAAGAATGGACATTAAGAAGGGGATTTGTGAAGAGAGGCTTGCAGAGGGGCACTCCCATTTTCCTTGATGAGTAGGACCTCTTCTCACCCCAAGTCTCAGAAGTGCTTCATTAGGCCTGCCATGAGGACCTGCTATGTGTCCCCTGCTGTTGAGAGATTTGGCCTGGGAAACTAGAGGAGAGCAGAGAGCATCTGGGAAGGAGCAAGATTTCTGGGGGATATAGACTCTGGCAGGAATGGTGGCCTGGGGTCACTGTATAGACATTCTAGATCTGGTTCTGGCCCTTGGGGAGTAGCAAGTGGGGGACATACCCTGCTATGGTAAAAACAACTGGGAAACTGGGCAGAGGGTGGGAGGCGACTGTTTCAGCCAGTGGGCACAGATAGCACAAGGCTGAGATCCCTGGGAGAAGGACTCCCTCCAGGGGCTCCCCGGGTTCTCTGGAAGTGAAACCCATACAGAGAACTGTGGTCTTGCTGAGCAGAGGACTATGGGTTAGAGTTCAGGCCATTGGACTGGACTTTGAGGGCAGGTGCTGGAGAGGAGGGAACTGCACCTGGAGCTCTTGAGGGCTGGACTAAGTGGGTAGGTTTCCTTGAGCCTTTGACCAAATCTTAAATTGCATATCCAGGAGGCTCCACCAGCAGAGAATAGCCACCAGAAGACTGTAGGCAAAAGGAGATTCCAGAAGGTGAAAAGATCCTAAAAATGTCGTGATTTTAACCAGCTAGAGGGGACATGAACAAGCATTCAACCGAGACACTCAATAAAGACTTTTAAAAGATCATGTCTAAGGAGTCGAGCTGTTTTAGCCTTAAAATGGAGGTCCAGAACCTTTCAGTGAAGAGCTAGATGGTCAATATGGTTCAGGCCATAAGACAAAAGTACTTTCATAAACTCTTACCTTGACCCTCTGGTCAGCTTCGGATTGGCCGTCCTGGGAGGCCACACACTCTGGGCCCAGTTTTCTCCAGCTGGAGACGTTTTGGGGGTGAAGAATGACCGGCCCAAGCTGGGAGGCAGGGGAAGCTGGCAGGCAGGTGGCAAGCCAGCGCAGGGTGGCCACCCAGCTGTTTTTCAGCCCAGAAACCCACAGATCTTCTCTCTTCTTGAGGGTCCTGGCTGTCTCAGGTGAGGCCCTGACTCTACAAAGACTCCACTGCACAGTGAGTTCTTGAGGGAAGCAGGTGCTGGAGAGAGAACTGAGCAGGGGGAACGCCGGCCGGGTATCAGTGGCCCTGTCCCTCTCCAGTGGTGCCCACTGGGCATGCAAAACTAGATGATAGGCTAGACTACAGGTGCTGACCCCTGCCCTCAATGAAGAGCTAATCTAGTTCCACCTAACAAATCCCCCAAACCATACTTCAGCAGGATCAGGCTCTGTTGCTGGTAAAATATTTAAAGAAAAAAAATTTTATATATATATATATATGTGTGTGTGTGTGTGTGCGCGCGCGCGCATGCATGTGTATGCACGCACATGTATTTGAAGAAATAATGATTGGACATTCTACAAATCTGATAGAAATTTTTAACCAGTAATCCCCCCAAAAAATTCAATAAAGCTTAAATAGGAGAAAAGAACCCTGTTGAAAAAGGCAAGGGAACTTAATTAGTAGGGTAGAGGGATTTGTCACTTTGGGTGGAGGGGCTGCTGCTAATTAGCAGAAAAGAGGTGTCTCCCAGAGGGAAAAGAGTGGCCTCAGTCCAGAGAACCCACCACAGCTGCTCCTGGCAAGAGTGTGACTCAGCTCTAAAATCAGAACTGTCCCATCGTGTAGCATCTCTCTTGACTCCTCCTTAGGAGAATGCATGTTTACATGCAGAAAACCTGGGTTCAACTCCCAGCACCAAAAGGGGAGAGAGGGAGAGAGAAGAGAGAAGAAAGCAGGCGGGTGAGAGAGGTAGAAGGAGAGGAGGTCACCCTGACTCGCAGATCCCAGACTTCTCCTGGCACTTCCCTGCTGGGAGGAGGGATGAGATGCACTATTAAATCAGGTTGGCAGTAGGGTTCAGGGCTTCTCACAGTGCAGTGTGTACACTGTTCACCTGGGGGGTCTTGTTAAGACGCAGGTCTGGGGTGGACCAGATGCTGCACTTCTAACAATTCCCTGGGTGAGATCGATGATGTTGCACCCACTCCTGGAATAGTAAGAGTTTGGACTAACACCTAGGCCTAAATATTTTAAATTAATGATGGGTGGCTGTGACCTGAAGCAACCAGAATTGCTGGAGTTCAAGTCTGACCAGAAAATCATGAGACCCACAGGAGTTCCCTGCTGGCTCCGGGGTGCTCTCCCACAAGGCAGTTTTTATAAGGGTAATGGAAGACAAAAACATGGCTGCTTTTGTGATTAAATTTCATGAGCCTGCTAGGTTTTCATATTATTTACACTGCTAAAGGCACATTTCTGTTAGCTCTTACAAAGAGTGAAAACAGTTTGCATTCATCTCCTCCTCAGCACTGAGGGTCAATTTTATGCGTGGACTTGCCCAGGCCCCAGTTCCCAGGTATGTGTTCAAACTCATCAGGACATTGGTATGAAGGCATTTTCTAGATGAGATGAACATTGAAAACAGTGCACTTTGAGTAAAGCAGATTACCCCCCTCCCAAGGTATGGAAACCCCATGCAATCAGTTGAAGGCCTTAAAGGAAAAGAGATGGAAGTTCCCTGAGGAAGAGGAACTTCTGCCTCCTGTCTGGCTTCAGACTCCAGGTACAAGACTGCATGAACCACCTTCCTTAAGTCTCTATGGATATGTATATCAGGGATGGGAAATTGTGTGTGTGTGTGTGTAAAGAGATACTGACGTGGAGATACATACATTGGCAAGAGTTTGTATGGTCCCTATATTAACTCACAATTCTCCAGAATATATCATATTGGTTGTGTTTTTCTGGGGGGATCCTAAATCCAAAGTCTCCTTACAAACTCCTGTCTCAGAAGTCCTCCAGCTCCCTCTCACCTCAGCTCTCAAGTCACAGTCTCTCCAAGTCCTATTCTCATCACTAGCATCCACATCAGTACCTTTGAAGGCCTCTCCATAAATTACCTCAGAAGAATTCTCTATATGAATTTCCCACCCTTTGGTGGACCACACTGAGTCTCTTTAACTGTTGGAGGAAACTGAGTATCACATAGCTCTGTCCTCATTACTTGCAGGACAACTGGTTGCATTAGTCAGCTTTCTGTTGCTATATCAAAATGCCTGAGAAAATCAACTTAAAGGGAGGAAACATTTATTTTGGCTCATAGTTTCAGAGGTTTCAGTCCATGATTGCTTGGCCCTATTGCCTTAGGGCCTGGTGGGACAGACCATCATGGTGGGGAGGAGCACACAGCGGAGGAAGCTACCTACCTCACAGTGGCCAGGAGGCAGAGAGAGAAGGAGGAAGGAGCTGGAGTCCCAGTACCCCCTTCAAGGTACACCCCACTGACCTAAGTTCCTTCCAGCACCAGAGGCCAAGGACCAGACCTGAAACACAGGGGCTTTGGGGACAAGTGAGATCCCAACCCCAGCACTGGTGCAGGTGGTACCTCTGCACTCCTGCCCAGCACGTACCAGATGCCACCCAGGAGGACTCAGCATTCCCTGGCAGACTTCATCACCGTCTCTTCAGGATGTTTAAGGTGAAAAGCAGATGCCAAGAATCCAGTGTCATCTTTTCTACATGGGTCACTAGAGCTTCTTGTCTCCCACTGTTCCACATTAAACCCTGTGAGTGTATTTCAGCTGTTATCATCTGATCCTTGCTCCATGTTATCTTGGGCACAAAATGTGGAGGCTTTCTCCAAAGTCAGACTACCTGATTGGTATCTGTCTTTTGCTCTTCTGAATTCTTACTCATGGGATGACTTTTTCAAAGGAAGAACTATGTCACCCAATTTGGTACCTAACAATGATTTGGCCAAAAATTCCAACTTAGAGTTGGTCTTATTCACAGTCTCCCTTTATAAGTTATTTAATTGCTGCTTGTAAGTCTTCAAAGAGCTTAAGGCATTTCATGCATTTATTATGGTCAATACAGAATTCTGAACTGAAACTTACAATGTTATCTTTAAACAGCAAGGAAAATTATAACATTTAAAAATCCATCCAAAGTAGAAGCCCTTAAACTATTTTTCTAAAGGCAAAGCAGTCACTTATTCACAATCTTACCAGTATAAACAAGTCAAGAGAATCTAAGCTTTTAACTGTTTTCTCATTGACTGATCATATCACCTGGGTAGTACTCACACAAGGCTCCAAAGATTCAAAAAACAACAACAACAACAACAAAAGCCAGAAAACTTTTGTGTAAACGTTTTTTCTTCCATGGTGACCACAGCCTTAGTTTCGCCAACTCAGGAATGAGCTAGAAAAGATCCTAGACCTATTTTACAGAACAGCAAACTGAGGCACAGAGGAATGTGAGGTGCAGATGCAGTCACCTGTTTGCCCCGACACCTCCTCTGTGTCCCTGAGCCTCATCCAGCCCCTCTATTTATGGAGAGGCAAGCTTGCCCCCGAAGAGAATCATATTGGTACAAATTTCCTTTATGAAGAACAGGAAGGGACGATTTGCCACAAACTGATCTCGGATGGGGAGTCTTTTCACAGCAATGCTTTCCCCAGAGGCTGCCGCTGCCTCCGTGCCCTCTTCGTTGACATCCACGTAGGACTTGTGGATGACTTTGGATAAGTAGAGGCGTCTGTCTGGTGACATCCCAGAGAGATCAGCTTTGGCCTGGTTGAAGATGTTGGTCATCCCTAGGGATTTGAGCAGGGAGTTCAGCTCATACTTGATTTCGAGCTTGAATCGGGGGATGTGAACTTCCACGTCTCTTTCCATCATGTTAGCAGAGCTGGTCCACTCCTGGAACATCCTGCCATTCAGCTCCTTTTCTATCTAAGAGAAAAAGCACAGATGAGCCCACCTGAGCCAAACATGCAGGCTTTCCATTAAATACATTTTTTTAAATAAATTCTCAATAGGAATGGTTCGATTTCATTGCTTTCTTCTCTACCTGGAAAGCATGCTCATGTGCTGCCTCTCTGGAAACAGTCTTGCGTTTAACCTCACTTCCCTTTGGTCTACCTCCGGTCTGTATTTCATCCTGCAGTTTCCCGTGTGCACCCCCGATCCCCTGGGCATTAGGCTTCACCTAGAGTTCTCTCTGGGTTGTTCCTGAAGTCCCTGTGTGTCTGCTTCCTGGATGAGTTCAACCACTTCTTCTCAGTCTGCATATGGGAAGTAGTTGATCACACCCCTCGTTAGGAACTTGGTTTTCATTTGGCTTTTAAGATGCCAGGTCCCTTTGTTCTTGTTCCACTGGGACAGCGTTCATCTCCTCCTGTCCCTCATTTTTTGTTGGGATGCTCCTGAAACTGAACTCAGGTGCTAACCTGACACCCTTCATGCGACTACCAACCACTTCACCTTCCACATCTGCTCAGGCTTCCAGAAGAAGACTCAGCAACCCTGACTTCTCATTCTCTATCCAGTTTCATCATTTTCTGTCGACCCTTGGAATGTCTCCCCTTGGGCACTTGAGACCCTCTAGCCAGCCCTCCTTCAGGGCCAAGCTACCAAAGTGTCACATCCCATTTTCCTAGTCAAGAGTTCAAAGCATTTTCATCACTTCCTGCCCTAATCATATAAAATCTTTCATAAAGTACAGGTAGTTTTTATCCTGAAGTATCCCTTTACTTTTTCTTTTTCTGCCTTAATCCAAGTTACCATGATCTCATGACAAAAACCCTCACACTTTTTTCTCGGGTGGGGTGGGCATTAGGGGGTACTGGGGATTGAACCCAGAAGCAATTAAACACTAAGCCTCATCCCCAGCCCCTTTTTATATATTTTTATTTTGAAAAAGGGTCTCACAAAGTTACTTAGGGCCTTGTTAAGTTGCTGAGGCTGGCTTTGAACTTGTGATCCTCCTACTTCAGCCTCCTGAGGCACTGGGATTACAGGTGTACAACACCCAGCCTGGCAAACCCTCACACTTCTAAGGCATTTGCTCATGTTCTCTGCTCTGCCTGGAGCACACTGGGTCCCCTTACCTTGCCTGTTCATCTTCTGCTCATCTGGCAAGGCCCGCCCTGAGATTATCCTCCAGAAACCTTCTCTGAGCTCCCTATTCTAATTTAGACCCTTTCTACTCCCACAGGACTTTCTGCAGAATCTAAACTGCTTCCAAACTGCTATGTGCCTCCAAATATCTTCCATCCCAGCTGACCACAGGCCCTGGATTCTGTTTCTTTCTGAATTGGCCACACCTGTAGGTCCACCTGTTCCCAGAGCCACATTTGTGTTTGTCTCACGACTGTCCCCTGTGGACTTGTGCCTGTCTCATGTCTCACTTCTCAAACTGAAAGCACACACCCCAGCCCATGTGTTTCGGGAACCCTCCCTGCCCTCTGCCCCCACCTGCTTTTACCTCAAGCCCACACTCGCTGACTGACCATGAGCTTCTGCAGGCCCCCAAAGCTTCACCTGTCTTCCTAAGGAACTGTCCCAGTCAGATTGGGGGAGGAGGTGTGGTCATTCCAAGGCCCCCCTGTGTAGGACACCTTTGGCTGCAGCTAGGGACAAGGGTTGGACCCAAACTCCTACCACCACCATGACCTCTTCTTTAAGGCGATAGCACTCATTTCCCCACAAAACAAGGAATGTTAAAAACAGGATCCTATAATTGAATTAGAAATACTGTAGTAATTTCCCCGGTAGTAAGACAGCTTAACTGGATTTCTGTGGACTGAAAACATCACGTCTCCCAAGTGTCAAAAGATTCATATGTGTGTGTATTTGTACAGTGTGTCACTCTGCCCCATGTACCTTTTTACTTAAGAATAGCTTGTCCTACCTGAGGATTAAGGTCATTGCACCCTTCCTGTCAAAGCTCCTGGGGTGATCAGGCTGAGCCTAGATCATGAATCAGTGACTGACTGTAAAGCATCATGCGATACAGGGTGAGTGCAGGAGGGTGTGTGTGGGGGCGCTCTTGCTCTAGCTGCAGGCAGGTGCTCCTGTGTGTTACCTGTTCTAGGTTAGCTGTACCCACTGGAAGCAGGATGATCATGCTCAGTTTGTTGCCGGCATAGGGCAGCTCAAGGACCTGCATCTGTGGCTTCTTGATGGAGGCCAACTTAAATGTTCCAGTTTGATACATCATTTCCACAATGACACTTTTATCCTATTAAAAGAAAAGATTGTAACTAGAAAGTACAGTTACATATGTGAATAGGTATGTATGTATGCTGCTTTCCTTATGTATCATGAATATATCTACATTAACACTTCAAAGGCAGGATTGGCGTGTAAACACTAGGTATATCCTTTTATTACTTTTATGTGCACAGTTTATTTGATTATTTTTATTTTAAAATAAGTCATAGTTAGAGATGAGTAGTTCTAACGCCCATAGATGACTCGAGTCTACTGAAAATCAACCCAGTTTCTACTAATCTGGGAAAATGAAATCATAATGTCAATTTCTTTTTTAATCCAGTTAGAGGGATTCTCTAGAAGAAAAACAGCACAGGTAATTTTATTGTGCTGTTAGAGAAAGTAATCTCGGTATGTTCAAAGAATGCCCAAATAGAATATTAGGAAATTAATAGGTGTCTTCCATTCCAGGGACTCTCAGTGTCTAAACGCTTGTTAGGTACCCCATGAGAAAGGTATTGTCACTTAACAAGGAAAACATAAAAGTTTATAGAAAAAGCAGTGACAGAAACTTAGCCCAGTATGTTCACTAAATCTTTCTCAGTTGACCTTAAATGATATCACATTCTCCAAAATTTGCCATCAGTCTGAAAATGAAACACTTACCTCACTTAGCTGAAAGGGGGTTTTAACAGTCTCTCTTTCCTGAAATTTATTTTGCCATTGTCCTTTGAAATATATGGCGCTCACCAGGACCATTACAGAGGAAGGGTCAATTGAGCCCTTTCCAAAGAGGTTTTTAATTTTTCCTTGTAGTGAAAGAAAAAAGATAATTGTATTTGGATTTGAACTTGCTGATAATAAAGTTGAATAGTTACAAGAAATGTGCATCTATTACTTAAGCTTATTGTACACTTGAGATAGCAGCAGAACTTTTTCATCTGGCCATAGACTCCTGTCAAAGGAAGTTTATTTTAATGAATACTGAAGGTTTTGCTATTTCTAATCAAAAGATAGTGTCCATGGAGTAGCTAGTATCTCAATGATGGGTCAGTTTTTCCTGTGTCTAGTTATATCCAATGCATTATTATATATTACTGCTTACTCAGAAAATTCTTTAATAATGTATTGTGGCTTGTTTTTACTATTTAGCATCCTTTATATTTACCAGAACCTCACTACATGCAAACAGTTAAGTATTTAAAAAGAATCACTTATTCTTACAATGTACTAGAATTAGTATATCACAAATATACAACAGCGTTTGAAATAAATGCATATTTGAAAATCGAGAACTTATAAAAAGATATCAGGAATTGCTTGCTTTGGAAATATACTGATCAAAATTGAACGTGATGCCATCTTGGGGAATTTCAGTGCATTGCAATCTATGAAACCTTTCTGGAATACAATCTATCATACAGTAGGAAACATAGACATATCTAAGAACCTAAGAATCTAAGTGACAAAGACTTTAATTTGCATTAAACTTCTGGGCCTAACACAATAACTAGCATATGATAAAAATATCTAAACTGAAATGCTCAAAATGTATTTCTGAATGACTGGATAAACAAACATATGAATGCATGATAGCAATAATATTCTAAATAAATCCACATTTAGCTCCCTAATGCATACCCATGGCAGAGAACCTTATTCACTTCATTCTAGACAAATTTTAACTGATTTGCATGTGCCAAGCACTATTCTATACACTAAAACCAAACCAAGGCTATGACACTAAACTAAACAGAAAAATACCCCTACTGTCCTGAAGTTAGCATTTCAATGATAGACTTTTGCTCAGGTTCTTTCTCAATTCAGGGTTCCTGAGCAGCCACTATCAGCAGATCAGAGTGGGTACATGAGATAAAACACATTTTGCACTATGTGCTAAGTAAATTAAAGGATCGAAAAATGTATAAACATTTTCTAACTTAATAAGAAAAACTGGATAGATACATATTTTAATCTGGTCACCTATTACAAAAGGTGAATAAGATCTGTGAGTCCATCAACAAAGAAGGTATTGTTGAGAGCTCTTCACTATTAAGAGATGAAATGGGATACATATATGTTGGAAAGCATGGCCCTACGCTCAGAGAAGAATTTTATGTTGCTGACATGCTCTCCACAAGTAAATATAGCTCTAACAGTAATCTGGTGTCATTTGATCCTAATTTTAATTTATTTTAATTAATCTGGTGTCATTTGATCCTAATTTTAATTTATTTTAATTAATCTGGTTTCATTTGATCCTAATTTTAATTTATTATTCAGATTCAATTTCTTCTCACATCAGGGATTGCCTAACTTTCAAGACTTCAGGAACTAATAGTATCATGAGTCAATGGCATAACCACATAGAGGATTATTTCAACAGGTAATTCCACTACACACCTTTAGGGGTATTAAACTCAAGGACAAAAAGAACTGAATTTTTTTAATCTTAAGCTATTGCTTTTTGTTTGTTTTGATTAGTACTGTCATTTGGAAACTGTGTGTATTGTGGGATGAAGAGAGTGTGCAAAAATATTAGTGACTTTATAAAATGGTATTTTTGACATGAGATAAGAGAAATGGGTATACAAGGGGGGATTTATTTAAAGTAAAAATCCCATGAATCTGAATTATAATAAATAACACATGTAAGAGATGATGTTTCATTTTTATTAAAAAGTGAATACTCCTTAGTTATGTTCACTTAGAAAGTCTGACCAAATCATTAGCAATGAACACTCATACCCAGATTATAGTATCTAAATATAACTTCTTATTAAAAGAATAACACTTCAAATAATAATTGACCTGAGCTAAAGTTCAACAAACTTCTCAAATATTTAGAAGCAGTTTATCAAAGGAGGCACAAGATTGCAAGATAGAGAAATGCAAAATGTTACTGAAAGAAATTAAAAAGAACTCAGATACATAGAGGTAAGTGTCATGGTCATAGGTTGGAGGCTGAAAAAAGATATCTTTTCTCCCCAACTCTATAGATTCAAGGTAATTTCTATTAAAATTCCAAGTGGTATAGAGGATAAAAGATGACAAGCTAATTTTAAAATGCAAAGGATAGAGTTTAGCAGAGGCAGCCCTACAAGAGGACCTGCAGGGCCGGAGAACTTCCCCATCCAGCCCTGAGGACTCATTACAGAGCTGCCACAATCATGGCATGGTCATGAGAATAAGCACATGGACAAACGTAACAATAGAGACCAGGAGCAAACTCACATGGACCTCTAATTTGTGATGAAGCTTACGTTGTAGTGCAATCAGGAAAGAATTTTCTTCTTAACAAATAGTGCTATGCTAATTAGATGTCCATGTAGAGGGGAATGATTTTTTAAATGAACCTTAAATACAGTTAAACTACCATAAAGCATCTGGAAGTTGTAATATGAAAATATTTTCATGAACTAGGAGTAAGCAAAGATTTCTTTAACAGAACCCAAGGGCACCAATTGTAAAGGAAAAGATTGATACATTTTATTCCTTTGAAATTAGGAATTCCATTCATCTGAAGCATCATTAGAAAAGATAAGTACAAAATGCTGGAAGTCACTCACAACATATGTATTCTGTATGTGTAAGGAACTCTTAAAATTTTATAAGAAAAAAAGTAGGCAAATCATCTGTACATGATATAGTAGCACTTCACAAAAGAAAATGTAAAGCAAATTAAAAAGTGTTTGACCATATAATTCATAAGAGAAATACAAATTAATATAAAAATAAATAGAGTGGCTAAAATTAATATGACTAATAATGCTAAGTTTGGGCATGGACCAGTAACAAATAAAATTCCCATTTATTGCTTACGCAAGTAAATTGATACAACTAATTAATAAAAATGCTTGGCACTAACTAAAATCAAGTGTGTTCTTACCTCACAAACGGCAATTTCATTTCAAGGTGTGTACCCAACCACACTGTATACGTACGCATACAAAAAGATATATACCAAAATTCATTTAGGGGTGCTACTTATAATTGCTAATATAACTATAATTATAATTGCTCAAACTAAAAGTATCCCAAATGTTCATTAACAGCAGGATGAATAAATATACTTGGGATATTCAGAGGATGAAATACACATTGATGAATATTAATAAGGCATGCAGCATAGAACCACAAGCTAAATATTGACTAAAACAACTAAACACATATTTGTGGTCCCAACTGCATGAACTGTAAAAACAGGCAGAACTTCTGTGTAATAGAAATGGGAGAAGTCAACACAGGGAGGAAGCGGGGTTGACTTTTGGGAGGGGACCTGCAGTGTTCTTGGCGGTGCCCTTCCTAGTAGCTAATGTTTTATTTTCCTGACCTGGTGTGGCAATGGGTGTGTTTACTTTGTGAGAATTTATCAAATAGCATACATACAGTAGTTTACTTCTCTATAAGTGTGTGGGAGAATTTTTGTTTTTTGGTTTTTGATTTTTTGGTACTGGGGATTTAACCCAGGGTCACTTTACCACTGAGCCATATTTCCAACCCATTGCATTTTTTATTTTCAGACAGTGTTTCAGTAAGTTGCTGATGCCTCATTGAGTTGCCGAGGGCCTCATTAAGTTACTGAGGCTGGTCTCAAATATCTATTAATGTTAAACAATTATTTTCAGTTTTGCAGATTTGATAATAGTGTTGTAGTCATATTAAAGTCTACATTTTTTAGAGAAAAAAATTAATATAAGTATAGAAAAAATAGTGACTTCTGGGATTTACTCCAAAATCATATGAAAGAAGTGGAGGGAACAGGATGACAGTACAGAGCAGCAAGGCTGCTCACTGGTGATCAGCAGTCAGTTGAGGGATGGTGAGCAAGGGTGCGTTATATATTCTCACTACCTTTGTGTATCCTTAAGTCTTTCCTTAGCTAATATTTAGTTAGTTAATTTATTTAATTATTTTAGTTAATAAAAAATAGTATTTAATTAAATAATAATTATTATTTAGTTAATAATATTTAATTATTTAAATATTAATCAATCTCTGGCACAAGCCAGGTGTGATGGCACAGGCCTGTAATCTCAGCTACCCAGAAGATTGGTTTCAATATTTAAATATTTTAAATAGAAAAAATGAACAAATCTTTGCATCAAATATGTAATGTGCCACTTTAAATTTAAAGTAATATTTAACAATAGGTAGAGGTTTTTAAATTGCAAAAGGGAGATTTGATTTTAAATATTTAAATATTGATTTTAAATAAATAAACTGCAGAATTTAAAACATTTCTCTAAAGTGGAGGTGACATTCACTCTCATTCTCAGAGCCATGGGGCAGATGATTGCCAGGAGTCCTTTGAACATGGCCCTGGTGCTTCATTGCTGATCTGTCTCTCCGGTCCTGGACCCGCTCAGCCTCCCTGTTAGCACGTTGACCCAGGAAGTGTATCAACACAGCACAGATAAAGTCTGTGGACACGTATGTGACTCATCCTTACCATTAGTTTTATTTTCAACCCAAGCATTAATGGTGTTTCTCGCTTCTTCTGTGGACTGTTCAAAATCAACAGTCTGTAGGCCGGCTTGGTACAGCTTCTCAGAACAGCTTAAATATTGCTAAAAAAGAAAGTACAGCCCAATGACAGGAAAAAAGGACAAAGAAAATAAACACATTCAAAAGTCCCAACAGAGATGAAGGCAGTTCGCGGATACAAGTTTGAAAGAAAGCAAAATCCATATGTGCTTCTTTTTATTTTATTATTTATTTATTTGGGGTAGTACTGGGGATTGAAACTCAGGGGCACTCTTCTACTAAGTTATATCCTGGACCCTTATTTATTTACTTACTTATTTGTTTGTTTGTTTTGAAACAGGATCTCACTAAGTTGCCCGGGCTGGCCTCAAACTTTCAATCCTCCTGCCTCGGGCTTCCAGATAGCTGAGAGTACAGGCCTGTGCCACTACACCTGGCTGGTACTTAGTTATTTTTTTAATATTTATTTTTAAGTTGTAGTTGGATATAATATGTTTATTTTATTTATATATTTTTATGTGGTGCTGAGGATCAAACCCAGGGCCTCACACATGCTAGGAGAGTGCTCTACCACTAAGCCACAACCCCAGTCCTGGTACTTACTTTTAATAAAACAAATACACTTTAAAAAAAATCCAAAACCTTTCCCCAAAAAAATGTTCAGAAATGTCTTGTTGTTGCTTCTGTCATATCATCAGCTTTCTTGGTTCGAATACACTCAAAACAAAAATGACATTGCATCTCACACCATCCCTCCACTTATTGCTTCAAAGTGAAAAAACAGGAGTGATTATGTGACTGCTGTCATATTATAGATGAGAAAATCAATAACCAGAGTGGTCACATGACTTCCTTATCTGAGATCTACCAGAAGGCTTCGCACAGGGTGCGTGCGTGTGTGCATGTGTGTGTGCATGCGTGTGTGTGTGTATGAATTTCTTCACAAATCATCCTATATAAAATTAATAATATCTAAAGTAGACAATTGACATTTTAGAAACTTACGGAAAATGTCATGAACAATATCTGAAGGCATTCACTATTTTGTTCACCTGTAACATACTGTCCAAGAATACAGCCTCTGCATAGACACTAGCCTTTCCTTAACTGACTCCCCACTCCAAAACCCCCTCTATGCTGGCATTCTGGAGCCATACTGTTTTGTTTCATCTCTTACCTTGGTTCTTGGACAGCTTTAGAGATTTTTCAGTGGTAAAGAATTTTTTTGATGTTTCACAACTTTAATGAGAGTTTTGATAAAATCATGTCTCTATAACCCTAGGTCAGCTCAAATTCAATCTCTTACAGTTAAATGCCACATGCCTTTTTTTAAAATAATCCTTTATAGATTTCATTGTATGGAATTCAGAGGATGCCAGATGGGCTCACCTGATGGAATTCCATTGCCTTTGTCCCATAGAGTYGGTTGGCAATGCTGAGGGTGTAGTTAGTGCCCGACTGGTTGATTTGAGAGAGGAGGAGTCCAAACTCGGAATGCGGCCTTCCCGCTTGACTGCACTGATAGAAATAAACAGAGTGATTTGTCAAGTGGCTTGATTTCTTGCCATTGGAGTGTCATAAATAACATGAAAACAGTACCTGGAGAGCAAGGTGTCTGCCTCTGATGAACAGGGCAGGGAATACAAGGTTTAAAGTGGTTTTTTAATTTTTTTTTAATTTTTTAAGTCTCCTTTAGCACCACAGTCTCACCAAACTGTGACTTTATTTGCAGACTGTGTGGAGAATTATATGCACTAGTTGGCTCTAATGGTTTAATTCAAAAGTTGGAGTTTCCATGAATAAAGAGATCTTAGTGATATGTTCAGAGACATAATCCAAGTTTTGTCACTGACATTAAACTTATAGACTCAGTTTTCTTCTCTGCCACACTCTTTTTGTGGTCTCAATTTTCTATGTGCTTCGTAATGAAACACTTTGGTCCTTTACTGGACAGTTCCAACACCCTCATTTGTCCCTCAGTGATGGAATTCTGATAAGCTTACAGCTTTGATGATTTGAAAGGTGGCTAAGAACTCACTGACCTGCAGGGTTGAGGCCTATATTCCCTGAAGCAATGAGTCCCAAGCCATGGCTTTGGTCTCCTGATAATAAGTTGGGTAATCTGAAGCAAGTTTTCAGTGAATCTATATGCATTTATGTATATTCTCAAGCAGTACCAAATAACTACTTTCATGTGGGACTCCTATATAATTTTGATGTCAAAACCGATGCTCCTATTAGAAAGAACTAAGGACCATTGTCCCAAAGCATGTGGGTGGGACAACCTCAGGCCCAGTCTGTAGTTACATGGCAAAGCATCAGGGTCCTTTCTCAATTTCCTTAGTAGCAGAAAAATTCTAACCCTGCATAGATAAGGCTGGCAGACTCAACAAGAAGCACAGAACAGAAGCGTGTGAGAATGAAGGCAATCGTCAAATCTGGGGGCTTTGACTAATATTACTAATATCATTAGTAATAACAGTGTTATTACTAATAACAGTAATGTCATCACTGTCATTATCGTTGTGTTAAATAGGCTGAAGTGGTTATCAGAAACAGTGAAGGAGGGACCAAGGAGACAGTGCTGCTCTCCAGCCCTGGACTAGCCTCTCTGGGGCTCTGATGTGAAGGTGCAGTTGACAGCTCAGCAATGACATCATCATACCTCAGCTGAGTCCCTGAACTCTGATTTCAAGAATTCTGCAATATGATTGTAGTGAAGCACCTGGAAAAGGAAAACGGGATCAATCAGTATCAAAAGTAAAAGAGTCCACAAAAGTTGAGAGCTGTATTTGTTCTTTCACTTCAGAGCAAAACTGATAGTGACAGCCAGATTTTAAGGATGCCATGTCTCATCTGAAGTCCTGGGTCGTCTTTACATATGTTATTTAACCCTCCCAACAACTTTATGAGTAGATTCTACTGTCCCCATTTTATGCTAGGGAAACTGAGGTCAAAAGGTCAAGGCATTGCTCCAGACCACTGTCCATGAGGCTCCAGGGACTGAGCTCTTAGGCGTTAGTCTCATCTTCCCTCTCCTATTCTTCTTGGCTCATTTAACTAGGATGGTGCCCATCTGGGGCAAGGCAAAGCATTGCATTTTCCCAGCACAGACAATAGTAAGATAAGAGGACAACAGTAAGATAGGCAAGTGTCTTAACAGTTATTAAGTGATATTCTTCTCTAGGTACTTTACAGAAATGATATATATATATATATATATATATATATATATATATATATATGGAAATCACCATTATTAGCCTATGAAACCTAAAAAGTCACCATTCCCTCCAAGTCTGTTTCCCTGTCTGTAAAATGGGGATATCACTCCTAACTGCTACATGGAGTTGTGATGAAGAAATGTAGTAACGAATATTTTTTAAAACTTACTAATTTCTAAAATGCAGTAAGTTTCACCAAATTGTTTAAACTTCTATAAGAAAAGTATGTTTTCCTCTATAAGAAAAGTACATATGTTCTCTATCACACTTAAATCACTGAAAGTAGGAATTCCTAGAGTAAACCACAGAGACGTATTTGTGACACCACTTGTGTTGGGATATGAGGTTTTCCCCAAAAGCTCACGGGTTAAGCCACGCAGGAATATTCAGAGGTGAAATGAGAGTGTAACCTATATCAGTGGATTAATCCATTTGGTGGATTCATAATTAGAAGGGACTGCTGACTTGGGTGGTAACTGTAGGCAGGTAGGGTGTGACTAGAGGAAGCAGGTCACTGGGGGCGTGCCTTTGGGGTTTATATTTTGTCCTGGTGCCTCCTTCTCTCTCTGCTTCCTGGCTGCCCTGAGCTGAGCCACTTCCCTGTGCTGAGCTCTTCTGCAGTGATCTTCTACCCCACCTCAGGCCCACAGCTGGAGTCAGCTGATTATGGACTGAAACTCTGAAACCACAAGCCCACAATAAACGTGTTCTCCTCTAAGCTGTTCTTGTCGGGTATTTTGGTCATGGTGACACAAAGCTGACTAAACGCACCCCTGACAATAAGGAAGAGACCATCTGATGCATGGATCACACTATTTGCATGACAGTGTATCCTGTTACATAAGCCATTTTCCCTTTTTAAGAACATGATCTGCCCAAGTATGTTTTGGCAGTTCTCTCTGCATAAAGATAGAAGTCATATGGTGGAGCAGAGGGGACAGGGAGGGAGGGGACACATGGACAGTGCGAGGCTCAGGGGAAACTGCCCACGCGTTCCTTACCTTTTCTATTTGGTCTGCGCTGTTCCCTCTGGCACCAAGGAGGAGCATGCTTAGCGCAGAGAGCAGACTCAGTGGAGAAAAGAAGACATTGTCTCCTACGTTGTTACTGCTCAGCTCCTTGAACACATCAAGACAAAATTCAACGTTTGCTGTGCTGAGGGAGCCCATTCTGACACCAAGCTCTGCCTGAGAACAGGAAGGAGAAAACAATCTCAGAACATCACTTGATGATACCCGGAGTTCAGGTTATACATGTCATGAATGTAGGCGTCTGATCTCACGGCTTCAGGAAAACGTATACATCCTGTCACAGCCTCTGAAAAAGTAGCAAATGCTACAAGGAGGAATTCACTTCGTTTTAGATTCTAATGAATAGATCTACTATCCTCCAGCCAACGGTTCAACACTATCTAACCATCTCTTGTGAACATGGAAGAATGAACTGTAGGGCAATCCCTCCATGGCCCCCACTTGTCCCTGAAAGAGTTCTGTTTCTATTCTTCACACTTGAATAAGTCTTTTCACTCTTACCAAAAAAAAAAAAAAAAATGATCTATGATTGTTCTGGAGCAAAAGAGCATGGGGAATTGGATTCTTTTGTGCTTGATTTCCACGCCTTAGGAAACACCTCAGCCTGGAATTCGTGCAGAAAAATTCTTTAACTAAACAAACTCAGCCAAACAAGATATTGTCCCACTAGACTGACAATTTTGCAGCCTCATAGGAGGGGAATGCCTCCGTCTCAGTCATGCTTGCACAAATAATCTGATAATAATGTAGTGTTAGGCAAAATTCTCTGCACATATTTTCACTGGTCCATTATAGTTGCACATAATAGTGGGATTCGTTGTGAGATAGTCATACGTTTTTATTTCCTTGATAGACCTCACTCCCTGTACTCCTCCAAGAAAGTGCGGCAACACTGTAAAGTGGGCCACACCATAGGAAGGTGATCAGAGCCCCAATCCTGGGCTCACGACCATGTTAGTGGCAATTGAGGAATGAAGAGGAATGCTGAGATAGAAAAGATGACCTGGTACATGTGTTACCTTAGGAACCGAGCATGCTGGGAAGGAAGAGTTTATTCTATTCACTACACCAAGACTAATGGAGCTAATTGTAGGGAGTTACAGAAATAACAGTGATCAAGAATCATTTCTGGGGGCTGGGGATGTGGCTCAAGCGGTAGCATGCTTGCCTGGCATGCATGCGGCCCGGGTTTGATCCTCAGCACCACACACAAACAAAGATGTTGTGTCCGCCGATAACTAAAAAAAAAATAAATATTAAAATTCTCTCTCTCAGAAAAAAAAAAAGAATCATTTCTGTCCCCGAAAGTCTTGTTGTTCAGGAGCCTGGTGCTTCCTTGCCCTGACTTTCAGCTGACCCTCTCTCCTGGTCCCACCCCGCCTCCTCTGTCTTCTGTAGGACCTCCTTCCACGTTCAACCTCCATGCATGATGGATCAGGCTTCAGATCTTGGGCCTCTCCTGCATTCACGCTCAGATCCAAGTTGACCTCATCCAGCCCTGGGCCTTGCATGAGGTTGATATGCTCTGAGCCCCTGCATTTATGCTGCCCCTGAATTCCAGACCATCCAGCCAGCCACACATTCAAACTCTCTGCTCTGTGGCTAATAGGTCTCTCAAACCTAAGGTGCGGAAATGAACACCCCCTCCCCAGCCTCTCCTCTGGTAAATAGCACCTTCACTTCTCTACTTGTTCAGGCTAAAAAGCTTGGGATCACCTGTTGAGAGCCACAGCCAAGGGGCCCTAGCAAACTTCCAGCTGTTGGCTCGCCGTGGCCCCAGCAAACTTCCAGCTGCCAGCTGATTGGCTCCTCTGCCATGATGCTCATTGGGCTGTTTCCCTGCCCATTCAGACCACGGAGCTGCTCATTGGGGGATTCTTTTGGCTCCGCCCACGTGGCCCAGCCAATCGGCCTCAAGAGCGGGAGGAGTGGGGCTTGAGAGGCTCTCCAGAAGCCGGTGGTGGCAGTTGGGATCTGAGGGAATTCCTGAAGCGCTCCTGTGGTACAGTGTGTGTTCTAAAAATAAAGTTCATTTCTGCTTGACAAGTGGCTTGTGAATTGTGCCCAGCCAGACTATGGCATTATTTTTAGAACACACGCTACACCACAGGAGCTCTTCAGGAATTCCCTCAGAGCCCAACTGCCACCACCGGCTTCTGGGGAGCCTCTCAACCCCCACTCCTCCCGCTCTTGAGGCCGATTGGCTGGGCCACGTGGGCGGAGCCAAAAGAATCCCCCAATGAACAGCTCCGTGGTCTGAAAGGGCGGGGAAACAGCCCAATGAGCATCACCGGAGAGGAGCCAATCAGCTGGCAGCTGGAAGTTTGCTGGGGCCACAGTGAGCCAATCAGCTGGAAGTTTGCTGGGGCCTCTGTGAGCCAATCAGCTGGAAGTTTGCTGGGGCCCCTTTGGCTGTGGCTCTCAACAATCACCCTTAAATGTTTTCTCATTCACAGTCCATCTATGAAAATATCCTGTTTCTTCAGCTTCAAAAATATCCACCCTCTGCCCACTTCTCACACTCTTCAGTTACCACCCTGGTCAAAGGTACCTTCCACTCTCTCCTGGAGTACTGAAATAGTCACCCAGCTGCCTACGTCACTCTTTACCCTCTCCATGGTATGTTCTACAGAAACTAGAGTGATATTTTTAAAAGGTGCTCTCCCCTACTCAAAAGCCCTGTGTTTTCCCTCCTCTCAGGGAAGAAACCAAAATGGTTACCATGGTAAGCAAGGCTCTCCAAGCTGGCCCCAGCTCCCTCCCAGACCTCATTCCCTACCATTCTCCCACCAGTTCACCCTGCATGAGCCATGTCACCTCCTTCCATTCCTTCTGGGTGACATGTTCTCATTAATAAGAATCCCTGATCATTCATTCAGTTTGAGAAGGCAGCTACCATCTCTCCACCAGAGCCCCAATGTTCATTTTCTTCTGGCACATGTCACATGTCACTGGACTGACTGACTATGTATGTATTTATTGTTGGACCCACTTCCTCCAGGGTGTCATCTTTATTAGTGCAAGGGCTAGGTTTTGCCCTTATGCTTTTTTTTTCTTTTGTAGTTGTAAATGGACAGAATTTCTTTATTTGTTTACTTTTAAGCGGTGCTGAGGATGGAGCCCAGTGCCTCACACATGCTAGGCAAGCACCCTGCCCCTGAGCCACAGCCACAGCCCTGCCCTTATGCTTTCTTCCAGCACCTGGACCAATGCTGGCCACAGAGCAGCCACAGGATAAGCACCTGTGAAAGAAGCACAGGAGGGGATTTCAGTCTGGTCAATGTGATGCTACGCAGTGATGCTGAGGGAGAAGGAGGCAGGGGCACAGAGCAACCTGAGAGGTAGGACAGACCTGGAGCAGGCAAGGTGCCCGCTGCCTCTTGAAGAATGAAATCAGACTCACTCAGGTGTGTGCATGTCAGAAAAGAGCTCCCCACAGAAGGAAAGGCGTGAACAGAGACTCAGACACCCAAGAAAATGCTTTGTTACAAAAACATGAAACGGGAAGTCGAAACGGGAAGTCAAAACGGTGGCGGGAGGCAGGCAGGACGAGTCCTTGGGCGCTCAGCAAGCCCCATTTAGGAGAGACCAGACAACTCATGGTGTGGCGGGCCCCCATGCAGCTAGGCAGAAGTTCAGACCGACCAGAAGTTCAGTCCAGGATGCTCCCTCCCCTCCCCTTCCTCTCTGACCTTCTGAATGACTTCCTGGGGTTCTCTTCTCAGTAGTCTCCCCACCTCCCACCCTCAAATTGCTCCGCAGGCCACCGCTGGAATTCTCTCCCATCCTCCCTTCCTTGGATGGGTATTTCTTCTTTCTAAATACCTTAAATTCTTCCCTAGACAGCTTTAAAAAAAAATGTGGATTGTCCACTCTTCAGCCCTCCCCTCAAACTTTCCTTCTGTGCTGAGAACCTGCTTTCCTTCAGATTCTGTAAGGTCACACCTGCAGAGAAGGCTCCACCCTCCTCGGCCCCCAGGAGCAAGCCTTGGTTGGCCTAACCCAACTGAGACATCTGTCTCCCAGGTCAGTGACTGGTTTAGGACTCAGAAGAGCTGTAATTTTTTGCCAATAAAAACTATTGCAACAGTTGCTGGAGGGCTTCTGGGAAAGCCTTCTCTCCAATAAGAGGAGACCCACAGGAGACCCACCAGCTTTTGCCCTCTTTTCAGAGTCATGTCATGTACATGCAACTACTATTGTAGCAGCTGTTTTGCTACCATGAGATAGCCAGCCAAGAGGATGCCCAGCATCTCAGAGAGAAAAGATGGAAAAACCTTGAGTCCTCAATGACACATCATCCAGGATGATGAGCAACCTGGGCTCTGCCCGACCTTGGGACTTCTTGTCACGTCACATGAAAGCTTTTCCTTGTTTTTAAATAAACCATTTTAGTTGGGTGTCTTGGCACTGGCAGCTGAAGCATCCCAACTCATCTTAAGAATTTCTTTAGGTACCTTTCACTAAGGCCAATGAGCCCTCCCCCACATTCACGCTTTCCTGGTCAGCTACATATTTTCTTATTTAGTCTCCCAGGAACCTGAAAATATCTCACTCTTTTACCTTTGACCTTCTAGGTTACAGCTTTGCCCTCTTTTATAGAACCTGAGTCTAGGCCTACATTCCCTTGGACGTTATGACAAATGACCCGTGTTGGTCCCCACCTGTGCATGTCTATTCTAGGTACTAACTTGTCTTGGGTCAGTGCAAATCTGAGCTGAGCTCACGGGAGGTGTGTTCTCTGGAATGTGAACTTGTCACTGATTCAGGTATTTGTGGCATGCTTCTTACCAAAACAGTGCTGCAGTGCCCTGATTGTCAAAAACAGCTAACAGAGCCCAGCCTTCAGACCTGGGGAGGGAGAAGAGAGCAGGGGCATCCAGTGTCAGACAAAGTGAGCCCCAAAAACAGTGTGTCACTTTTGGACTTCCAAAATAACGACCCATGGCATGTGTAAGGTAGAAATGATGCTCGCACATCCCTGTAATCAAAACCAGTTGCCCTAAAATTATCATTAAGGAGCGGATATTGCACATTCCAGTTGTCAGACTACCAAGCAGAGTATAATAGGGCCCAGCGGTTATTCTAATCCAAACCTGGATTATACTTTTCTTTGCTCTTGATGTTTTGGGTTTTTGTTTTTGTTTTTGTTTTGT